ATCAAATATATTTATATTGGCCTATAAATTTGCTAAAATTAGTTGATATTATTATATTAATTAATGATATAGATTAATATGCATAATTTACCTTCTCGTCTATCCGAACAAAAAGTGCTACAATTTCTTTGAATTCAAAGTTCCTCTCTGCATTTTTGTAAAGTTTTGTCGCTTTATCACAGGCTTTTTTGTTTAATAACTGATTAACAGATGCTAAATGTAATTGCTTCTTGAATTCTATTAAAATTTCTTCTTTATTTTTAGATACTATCCCAGGGCAATTATTTTTATTCAAAAATTTAAAACAATTAATAATGTTCCAGTTTGCATAGTTTACTTTACTCAAATAATCAGCAATCCTACTTGAAATGTTCATGCTAAAAAAAAAAAAATAATCAATATTGTTAAAATTAGGAATTAGAAAATTTTATCATTAGAATCACGTATGGCAATGACATAATGAATTTCTGGAAAGAAATTGTCAACCTCATATGCTAAGCATTTCCTAGCAGGAGCATGATTATTTCTTTTCAAATATCAATCAAAGGAGGTCCACGTCAATGGAACAATTCCAATGCATCGTAGGATATCTATTAAGTCCAATATACTGGAATAAGATTGCCTAGCAAAACATGACATTCTCTTCCAAACATCAACCAAGAGAGGTTCACATAAGTGGAACAGTTCCCACGCATCATAGGATATTGTGAAATGCCACAGGTGCAAACAACAAAAGCACTTTTCTTTTTTTATATGCAGTAATCTCTTTTAATAAATCTTTGAAAGTTAAGATATCAATACGTGCTTTTGAAATTTGTTCTGCGAATTTTGTGTTCCAAATGAAAAAGGGGTGAGAATTTAAAATTGGACCCGGGTAAAAAAATATTGAGATAACGATAATCATATTATTAATGTTAAATTATATAATCATAATTTGAAATTATTATATATAGTTTTGCAATATATTGATATGGAGTCTTGGGTCCTTATGTTGATTATGACAACCACAAGACCACTTAATTTATTGACAAGCAATCGATTTTATTCAAAGCAAGCTTCTATTTATATAAGACTATCAAACGCAAACTACATACTACAATAGACTCTTACTTTTACTACAATAGCTATGTACGCATGCATAAAATCACAGGAACCCTTATTATAATAATCTTTATAGATACGTCATATGATAATTAATAAAATTTTGTAACTCTGATAGGGTTAGATAAATATTCTTTTTGAATTAAATATCGATATAGCATAAAGTTTAGATTTATCTGAATTTTTTTAATTCATTACAGCTGTTTTCATAAAGTCTGGGCCACCTAAAAATTTATTCATTTCCTGAAATCTCTTCGGTTTCATTCTGTGAATTATCTAACTCTTCGAAAACTACTTCGCTGTCTCCAGAACTTCGGTCTAGAGATAGCGAAGTAGTTTCCGAAAAGTTAGATAATTCACAGAATGAAACCGAAGAGATTTCAGAAAACGAATAAATTTTTAGGTGGCCCAGACTTTATGAAAACAGCTATAAATTCAAGAAATACAAATATATTTAAGGAGCTAATAAATAAATATGTAAATTTTTTGCAATTTCATTATATTTTCTCTATTTAAAAATGAAATAATTTGAATCGAAAAAA